GTGTGTGTGTGTGTGTGTGTGTGTGTGTGTGTGTGTGTGTGTGTGTGTGTGTGTGTGTGTGTGTGTGTGTTATAAAAGCTTAGACATTAGACTCCAGTGTGAATGGTTAATGTCATCAATGCAATCTGAACACACAGAAGACGACATGACTCACATTAAGCTCACTGTTTACAGATATGAACAGTCAGATGCTACATGTTAATATGTCGATTATGAAGTTGTGCAATCAGTAATTATCTGACATGCTTTTCTAGTTCACTGTTTACATTTGAACCTGCCTCTGGATGGCTGCTCCAGAGCAGCTTGTATTTATAGAACGAGAGCGACATGCTCTAAGTAAAACCAACTGAAGAACTGATCCAGTAAATTTAGCATTGACACGGTCTGACAATATTACAACATGTGTTTCTGGAGAGTTTCAGTCATCCAGGAYATKAAAAATTAAAATTAAAAGYACAAAGCAACTGGACTTCAKTTTTACTGCTGAAGATGTGTGGAGTTACAAGATTTAAACTGTGACTCTGAACTGACTGTTAGTATTATTATTGCTCACTGTTCTGCTCACCTCACCTCAGTGATGTAAACTTGGATAAAATGCAACATGAGTGTCACTTTGAAGAATGTCAGATATGTATCTGATTTAGTATCAGGTTTTACTGTTTACTTTACTATTTACTAAAATACATGTGTTTTTATATTCATGTGTTCTGTTTAAGTTCTAACCCAGCAAGTACTTGGTATCAGTGAGTATCCAAACACTTGTACTCCATTTGAGAAAAAAAAAAATATTGGGACACCCCCAATTTATTAACTGCAAAACCACAAAGCCATTTTTGTGTTTTATAAGATCAGCTGGCTGTGGTTGCCGTCTTAAACTGGGTTAAGTTGAAAGTTTTATCAGCTGTAATGAAAGCTTTTTAAAAAATCCGTTCACTTTTGTATGGCAACAGATTTGCAGAACAGATTCCAACAAATTAAATAAAAGGTTTAAGGACAGATGTGCAGTCTGTTAACATTTGTAGTATGTGTTGGGGGTCAATGTCAAATGTTACCACATAAAGTTTTTTTTGTTAGTATCTATAGAATTAGCTGAGTTATTGCTATTTTGGTGTTTGTTAAATTCGTTTATGTGGTGGCTGTCTTGAATGGGATTCACTCCAAYGTTTAATCAGTTATAGGTGTGCATCCAATAATTACTTTCGGAGAGTTTCACTCAGTTTTATTCTCTGGTTTATTAGACATTTTGCCAACAGTACAAACAAGCAAACAAATCACTGCTATAAAGTTAAATAACTGTGTTGGAACAACAACTCAGGCAGACATATAACATCCTAAATTATAAAAAAAAGACTCCTTAAAGCAGTCAAACAGTAAATAATAGAAACAGCTCATCTGCTGCTTTCATATTCACCCAGAATGCCGCTTCATTTTCACAGCATTCACTTTGACACTGAGAGAATAAAGAATTTGTTGCACAGCAGAGCACAACAACCCAATTTTCACATCCAGCAGAGGTGTATATAAATAATTAAGATGACAACCAAACAACTCGTGTCACATTTCGTAACATCGCAGCAATCAGGGTAGCGAGCTATTGAGGGTGCTGGATAAGAGCGTGGACTTACATAACTGGCCCACAATGCTTCAAAACAAAACAAAACAGATGCTTATTTTTGTTTGCAGACCAGTGAAACCACATGCTTCATGTGGTAAAAAATAAGAAGTTAACAGATGATCCACTAAATGTTCAGAAAGAAATCTCTGAGCCCTTCATAGTCACCAAATGTCACACAAAGCCAGTGTAAGACATCATTCCAAACAGCCTATTTTCATCGGAAATGGCAGATTTTTTTACTGCAGACATGTCACTCTGGCAAAAATCACACACCTGACAAGAAAGACACTCTAAAGAATGGAAACGGCTGCACAGCAAAAATAGATGTGCTTGTACTGTACTCAAAGCTGCAGGAGAAGAACTCACACCTATTTGCAAGTTTATTGGCTTCCAGAAAAGACATGAAAGTCGGGTAATAATCCTTTTTTCTTCTTCCCCTCTTTGTTTAATTTTGTTGTCAAAGTTTAATAACACATGCGAACAGTAGGAGTTTTTTCATTTTTTATGTGTTCTCATAAATAAGGTGCATGCATTTAAATGTTTTGTTTTAGTTTTCGAACAAAGACAAGTTTGTTTTGGAGCTCCT